AAAATATTGGTGAGAGAACAACTTTTAAGCCCTGATTTAGAGGAAAACATAATCTAAGACAGGTGGCTGTTAAATTCAGTATTTTGGAAGAACATTTTCTTCAGATTGGTAATGTCAGTAGAAAAGAAGCTCGCATAACACAACCAGTAGAAAATTAGAGTGTGACGTTTCGATGACTACAGTGTCGTTTTCATCAGACAAATGACTTTTCTGCTGTTAAATAATGACCCGTAGTTTCCCTATTGTGTAGTTTCATCATCTTGCATTCATTTCACGGTCTAATTGACGTCTACCATCACAACGAATCCTTTGTTCCCTGGTGATAGTAGGTACTTCAGATTCGGGCAGACGATGGCGCTCGGGTTACGTACGTCTCCATTCACATTATTGTCATTCTCTACCACTGCTGTCCTATTACATACCCATTTTACCAATCGTTTTTACCCTTGATCTTTGTGTGGTATGCGCAAAACTGCTAGCCTAATTCATATCACACTGTCAGACCGATTCTACACCGGTCTACAGCCACGACCGCTACTACTATCTCTTTTCCAACTTGCTTGTAACCATTGCTTGGTAACCATTGCTTGGTAACCATTTCTGTAACTAGGATTTTTTAGTTTTTGGTATTAATGGTTTTCAATTTTACATTGAAATTATATTCTCTTTGGAAGAGGTACACGATGCAAAAAATAATACATTATACTATGTATATTTTCGGATTGAAACCTTTATTACACCACGAGTACACTGTATTGAGTATAAAATATGATATTCATTTTTTACTACACAACGAGTACACTCTATTGAGTATATGCTATGATGATTAATTTTAACTATAGTACGAGTACATTACATTGAGTATATTATTTACTTTCTAACTTTAAGTACATATTGACGTAAACATAACGAGCACGCGCATGTAATGGTAAACACATGACTACAGATGAAGTGTCTTGAAGTACATCAACAAGCTCTGCCAGGGCGACCAGGAGTAAAAAAAATAGACCAGTGATACCTAATGGATGAGCATGTTACCATGTGCTCCCGTATTTATGTTATGTTACAAAGCACGTGTCTGTCACAGCACACGTGCACCGACACGGAGATATTGTGATGGTACGTCCTCACGCCATGGAGTACCCAATTATCAAGACAAGTGGCACCTGTAACAGAGACATCGAGTCCTAACAATCAGGACAAGTGGCACCTGTAACAGAGACATCGAGTCCTAACAATCAGGACAAGTGGCACCTGTAACAGAGACATCGAGTCCTAACAATCAGGACAAGTGGCACCTGTAACAGAGACAATCAGGACAAGTGGCACCCTAATAATCAGGACAAGTGGCACCTGTAACAGAGACATCGAGTCCTAACAATCAGGACAAGTGGCACCTGTAACAGAGACATCGAGTCCTAACAATCAGGACAAGTGGCACCTGTACCAGTGACGTCAGTCCCAATAATAAGGACATGTGGCACATGTAACACTATTATCAAGTCCCAATCATACGGACAACTGGCACCTAGATAAGGCTGAATAGACCCTGATGACAATGGCATCAACCAAGACTGAATTGGGCTGAAAAATGACCTCTTTGATAAATTAAATAATAATACGTTCTAAGATAGAGACACAAGCTGAGTATCTATAAATTTATTAAATATTAAAGCTGTATATGTCCCGTTAATAATAATTTAAAAAAAAAAACAGATAAAAAAATTAAATAAAAAAGAAAAGAAAAAAGAAAAAAAAAACCAAAAAAAACTATTGATCCGCTCGGTTATTTCTAGATACAGTAAGCATGTTAATATCATGATATGACAGGTAAAAAAATCCCAAAATATATAGAACCAACCTGGATTCATCCTCAAACCGTTGTTTTATTAATCTTACATTTAAGTATCTACTGCTAAGGAAGCTGAATATTTATAAAGTGGAACGGTTTCCGAAGTATAAAGTGGCGCAACTGATCACGTGACAAGACAGTTGATAAAATGGTACACTTGATAAAGTGGTACAATCAATAAAGTTGTACAATTGATAAAGTTGTACAATTGATAAAGTTATTCAGTTGATAAAGTTGCATAGTTGATAAAGTTGTTCACTTTTTAAAAAGTTGTACAGATGATATAGTAGTACACATGGCTAAGTGGTACACTTGATAATGTTTGGCTGAGTATGAAGTGGTAAAGTTGATAAAGTTCTAAAGTTGGTTAAGTGGTACACTTGATACAATTGATGACATGGTACAACTCACTCAATTCTAAAGTTGATAAGGTTGTACAGTAGGTATAGTAGTACACACGACAGAGTGGAATACTTAATAAAATTGGACAATCGATAAAATGGTAACGTTGATAACGTTGTAAAGTTGATAAAGTTGTACAGTTGATAAAGTTGTACACATGATCCCTTTGATAAAATAGAACAGTTGCTTCTATATATATTTTTGTCATTAAGATATATTTTTATAAATAATGTCTTTGATCGGTGGTAGCTTTCACTCTCCTAGTACAACGGTACCACTAGTGTTGCCGGCAACATCTGATCGGAACGTCTGGGTTTCTGAAAGAGAGATGCTGTAACTCTGAAATAAGTGGGGATTTTTGGCTGATGTGTCTCCTCCGTTCTGGTCATTGTTTGTCATCATTCCCAGTTATGTGTTGTTCATTTCCAAATGTAACCTGCTAAAGACGTATTTATGGTGGTTTTTTTTGTACCTCTGATTGATTATTTCAGTTAATATATATCATAGTTTTGTCAAGTATTATAGATATTAGTAGCAATTGTCAGTAATAACAGTTCTGTTTTGTGTTATTCAGAAAAGACTGTTAATATAGAGCGAGTGCGTACAACCATTCGTCTAAATACACAGCGATACATTACTGATGTGTAACATCTCCAGGGAGGCTCCCCACTACACAGTAACTAGCACCTTGCCTAATTTAACGTTATCGTGAATGTCTTCACGCAATCTTAGTCGGAACATCTTGTTCTGGTGTCGGGCCCCTTTGTCATACTGATACACACACTGTGTTAAGTAGAAATGATTAACCGAGTGTTTTTATGGGAGAATAATTCATCTATTTGTAATGTGATCATTCAGTATATTGTGACATTTTATTTCGGGTCTCTGGAATTTGTTTGATGTTTGTAGACAACGAAACGCTTTATAGATTTCAATCCGTTTTTCTAATATCTTACGTTTCCAATATTGTGTTCTTAAACCTTTCTGTAAGTTGATAAAGATAACGGGATTATGATAATCTATTGACTGTGAACTGTAACGATACCATATCCCTAAGGTAGGAGATGGCAGTATGATATTATGCAAGGGGTGTTCTTACAAGAGGATAAGTACGGTAACAGTTCGGGGAGTAATATTACATATCATGGCGTGCAGAGTAACACATGCGTGGAGATGAGCGCCCTAAATAGGAGGATATAGGTTTACAGCTACGTGTAATATGAAAAGATTAGATGAATATCTATTACACCATGTATATCAACGTAAGGGTTTGTTTCGTGATCATGATATGTAAATATATCTGTACCATCAACACATATATATGATAGTAACATATACCACAATATATATATATATAGTTGTTTTATACCTTGTTCTCATTTGAGAACGTGACATTACTTTGACCAAGGTTAACATGACAAGTGTTGTCGATGAAGCAGAAGACGCTTACTCTTCCTGAATACCTGGTCTTACACTCCTTGTACGTTTCCAGGAGTCTCCATGTAAATTTTTCTTTTGTTCATATTTTGAGTTTTATGGAATTCGAGTATGGATTATGATTATGATGACATGGTGGTATTTTCTTGATGTTTTTTGGAACCGTGTTGAGAATTTAATTTGTAACGGACGCTTATAAGAGGTATTCAACTATGTTGATAATGATGGTTAAAAATTCACAACCCCCATCAAAAGGCATACATGTATATTTGTGTGAATGGGTTATTGTGAACAGATGTATTACATTATATCTATATGCTTTATTGAAAAACCTTGAGGAAAACACATTACTTTAAAAAATTGTTTGAAACATTTTTCAGAAAATGTGGGAAGAACGAAAAGATATTTATACTATCTTGACATATCTCAACAAATGTGTTGGCGAATGTCGAGGAAAACAGAAGCCTTATACTCCATTCATGTTTTTATTTTGGTACTTACGATAACGCAGATGGTCAGCCTTCCAAGTTTAATTGCCCATTCTGTAAATATAGAGATCCATTAATCAATGGCACTTACACCCAGACATGAACTTTCAATTAGTTTAGAGTTGCGCAGATTTAATTTCTAAAATACGAAATATCTAAATTAGCTAGATTAAAATAAATACTTTCTTTTTTAAATCGAAGTTCTAAAATATAATGAAATATGATAAAGCCGACGTCTATCAACCAGAAGCTGTAAAATGAACTTAAGTTGACTATTCTTTTTGACACTTCCCGGTAAATTTATATCTATCCTATAGTTGTCTGTCAGAGGTAAATGTTTTGTGTTCGCTTTAATCGTCGTTAGAATCGTACACTTCAGCCGTCTAAATAAATAGATGTGGGCTCTTTCGATCAGAAATGCCCAGATATCATTATCTGACAAATGGACGTTTATTTACTGTTAAGTGGTCACTATCAATCACTTTGCTTGATATCGGTATTCTAAATTCTGCTTACATATTTATTCTGACTAATTTCGCGTCTCGTATGAAATAGAATTCGAAGTTGAAGTTTTAAAATATCAAGGTATATTTAATCATAGTTTTCATTGTTGATCGGAAAGGCAAATGCTATCGCTGGATTTGTCTGTGTATTTAAACAATACCTTTTGTTTAATTCCCTGTTATTGGTTCATATTTATTTGTTTATTGTCGGATCCGGCTGGGAGACATTCATATAAAGAGTTATTCATTTTATTAGATAAATGTTATAAAATTATCCAGATTAGAATAATCTTATCATGTAAATATCCTTTCGAACAGGTCGGAGAGTGGGTGGTGGAGGAGTCGGACTCTACTTGAGAAAGTCTTGCTGGTGTTAGTACTGCTAGCATTACTTGTCTTGGTGGTTCTGGTTATTCTGCTCGCCATGGGAACAGTCTGGAACAAACAACCGGAAGGTAAGATTGGCTTAGTGTTAAACCTGTAACGACTTGTTCATCTTTTAAACTATGACCTTGACGCCTTTTTTTTCTTTTCTTTTTTTTTTTTTTTTTGAAATTCCGTGTCGAGTAAAATTAATTTATTCGATGTTTTTGATGACAAAGAGAAGTTTACACAATTGATTCTATACGTGAAATAAACGTGAATATTGAACAAAAATTGTTTGTAATTTGTCAGTGCTGGATATATAATATATTAACTAGTCCCAACATGTAAATATTACGTAATAGTTTTTAATAACGTAAATCATATAATATGCTTGTAGATGTTGTATAATTGTAACAAAAGAAAAATGCAACATCTATTCATAAATATTTCTGTTTCTGTTCTCAAAGTTACTAAATTTGCTTTACAACAAATCCAACGATTGCACGTTTTCCGCCTGGACAATATATCGTTATTACATCATCAGCAAATTGATATGTTCTTTTATTTTGCTTGCCTTTTCTCAAAAATGTGATATTTTGGAATTATGTCAGACCGTTATAGTGGTCTGAAAGTTTGGCTACAGGTATATATGACATGAAAAACTGTCTGGAAAGAAAGAGAAAAACACTACTAGTAAATACTGAACGACATTTTATTTAGTCATTTCAGTATATAATGGATATAAAACTTTGTTGAAAAAAAACTAGGCTATAGATACTAAGTATAGAGAATACTTGATAGTGTCTTCAGTAATAGTAAATATATTTCACAAGTATGTCTAATATTCAGTATCTTTTACGAGTGAGCAGCACTTGTTTGCTGACTTTCATCAAATTGAAGGTTTAGAATTATATTGAAGGTCGTGTTACCAGTTAACGACCCATTCAGGTTTCTGATTTTGTGTGTGTTTTTACATGGCTTTATGCTTTGTCAATTTTATAAGATGATTTGTGTTCAGTCTTTTCATTGGTGTAACTCTACAAAAATGTTATTTTTCATCAGTGAAAAAAAAACAAAAATGTGTTAATTTTCACATGTGGAAAATGATAATTTTATCAGTAAAATATTTCTCTATATTTCACTGTAAAACATGTATTACGAATCATATATAACAATATTTAATAATACTTACATTGTCTTCAACTACACAGCGATTTTACTAAAAGTATTTGACATATACGGAAAATTCACGAAATATCAACAGATATATGCCCTCAAATAAATATACTTCTACATCTTTGTAGTCGAGACTTGTTCGGTCAGAAAGAGAAATTGGCTATTACTGAAAAAATGTTAGGGGCGTGCCTTGTAACGTTACGTAAAGGGAACCTCTGCCATTTTACGAATAGTACCCTTTGATTCTTTTAGTCCATGACTGTGTGAGGTATAAAAAAACAGGAAGATGTAATCCGCGAGTTTAGATATGCGTGCCTTAATGTTTAAGAATTAAAAAAACGGCAACATCGTTTTCTTTTTCGGATAAATCAAAGAATTTTATACCTTGGATAACAGCAGATACACCAAGAAGAAATAAAGTAGTAAACTTGAGGTTCATATGTTAGAGGAGGCATCTTGGAATTCATTGTCTGGGTATTACGGTATTTGAGACTTTATATGCGATACGGAGAACGATTCCTCACCATCAACTACTCTTGAGTGATTTTCCCGTTGATTAGGAAGGCTGGAAAGAAAATAGAAACACGAGAAATTCGACACGAGAGGAAAGGAAAACTAATTCTGGCTTCTGCATTTGTTTATTTTTGTTGTGAAAGAAGACACATTGTGTTGATGTAGTAGCAATTACTATCTTGTTGAAGAATGTGAAATTTGCTCTAAAACTGTCAAGGTCTAGAAGTCAAGACCACTGTGGAATCCAGATGTTAGAACCCCTAGATTGACTGTCTTTTGATAGGAAATTTTGCTTAAGTGTTTTTGTTGAATAAAACATGTTCATATTTGTGATATCTACAGATGTCCATGGGCCAACCTTCAGAATTCTAAACTTCATGGCAGAGTTACAGATGATTTAATTTGAAGATTGCTAAAACACATATTTCACAAATACTTAATAAGTCAAACCTGATATGCTGAAAGTATTTCTTAACTGTTTTTTTTATATATATACAATTCAATATGTAAAACAGTTTTAATTATAAGCTGATAACGTATTATTGGAATTCAGTTATAATATGCACAGATTAACCAGGGTTTATGTTATTCTGTAGACTTTCTGTTTATAATTTTACTTGTTATAAGTACAATTATTGATTTCTTTATGCAACTATTGACCGTTTGGAACATAGAGCAGCGAAACATTGTGGAATTGTTTAAAGCTTTTTCAAATATCTATAAATTTGTTTTCAGATGATCTTTGCACGGCTCCTGGTTGCGTCCAAGCAGGTAAGTTAGTGTATATCATTGTCACCATCCCTTAACTCTGATAATGGTATTTACACACAGTACAACTTGTATATATATCATCTGCATGACTACAGAATAGCAATTTTAACCAAAGGCAATAAAACTAGTTCAAAGAAGGAACAAAGTAAAATTTATAAGGATTCCATTGCAACAGTATAATACACAATCCAGAAAGGAAAACGTTTTCTGTTCTATCGACAACATTCCGTCATCTAGCATGTAAAACTAGGTCAATTCATGTCATGTAACGTTCTCAAAGTGAGATCCGCGTTACACGGAGACAACGGATCAAACTAACAGCGGGAACGACAGATTCACTTATCCGCCTCTCAACTCAAATCGACTCAACTCAACTCAGCTAACGGCACTACCAAGAGTTATAAATTAAGATGTAACCATTGTTTCAGCAAGGTACAAATGTCTTTATATGCTGGATGTTATATCAAATATAAAGCACTAAATAATGTATTGGTATATAGTCACTTGTCTTCATTAAATCTTTAAATTGATATTGCCATTTCCTTTCCGATTTTGTAAAGCTGTATCTCATATGTAAGATTGATTTAAAATAGAATTTAGGATTGATACCGAACGTTGCATGAATGCATTAGTGTTTCTCGTACTTTACGTACTCGCACACTGTAGGATTTCACGTTTTCGTGTAAAAATATTTTCATGTAAAATATTTCGGTAGTTTTGCAGTATTTTTGACACTTGAAAACACATAGATATACACACATATAATTAATAGACAGACAATATGCGTTTGTTTTTAAATAATACGATATGATGTCTCTCGTAACAGCTGCATCAGTTTATAATGGTATCGACTTCAGTGTAGATCCATGTGACAACTTCTACAACTTCGCCTGTGGTAATTGGAGGAAAACACATGTGATCCCCGAACACCGGGCATATCTAGCAAGGTTCAGTGTTCTCAGGGAGGAAGTCCACGTCACACTAAAATGTAAGTTTTTTGTCATTTTATTGTCATGATGAAATCTGATTTTTTTAAAATCCAAAATAATTGTTCTTGTTATTTCAAGGTTTTTTCCACTCATATATTAGTATTAAGGACATATTTAGATTTAAGATGCTCAGTATCATTAACACGTTACTGGCACATCTATTATATCCGAATGTTGTAACAGTTTATGTCATGTCGTGGGCCTAAATGTTAGTATCAATGTCAATGTTTAGTCATCCTCAAATTAAAAAAAAACAAAACAAGGGTGTCAGTGAAACTGCTGAATGCTCGCCGAAAACGGCGTCATTGGCACAAAATTTAATAAAAGGGCAATAATTCTGTAATTAAGAAGTTGCAGGCCCTGAATTCGGTATGCTACACCTTCTCTTGATGTAACCAATGTATACACTAAGTTTCAATAATTCCTAAATCATGCAAAAGAGGAATGTGGTTCTTGTTCACTACACTGCTCCTTATCGAGATCTATCTTCCTATGAAATTTCATATTGATACCTCTTATAGTTTTTGCTATATGCTCCGGATAAAATATTGACAAACGGAAGGACGAACGTCCGAACGTCCGAACAAAAAATCCCAAGAAAAACAAAAAAATTTGGTTAGCGTTATTTGTGCACATAGTCATATATTGCTATATTTCACTTCCATTCCGAAAAGTTTTCGTTTTACTAGGATTATATGATGGAATATTAATTGCTGAACCAGTAGTTGCGAAATAACGAATTAATAAGTTATCTGCTATTAATGTCTAATTAAACATGCGATGATAATGGGCGTTTTTATATGACAAAATTTAAGTTGTGGACGAATGTTTCATTTAATTGCCATTCTACATTATATAATATAATTAAACGTCTTTCACTAAATACTTTCATTTTTACGCAGATTTGCTCGAAGAAGAATCCAAACCTGACGAACCAATGGCAGTACAATATGCTAAAAGAATGTACAAGTCTTGCATCAACATGAGTATGCTGTTTATTTACTGACTTTCATTTTGTCTAAACTCTGCTATACTTTGCGTCTCTGATGGGCAGTTTTCTAATGAGTATATTACGATGAATTAGAATTTACACAGTATGTATCTCTCTAATAATTGTATACGTTTTTAGCATTTAAATACTTTATTTTCACGTCATATGTTTGATTACTGAGTAATCAAATTTTATTTTGTTTGTGATATAAGAATTGACATACATAATACATAATGATCATACGGTAAAATTAATTCTAGTTAGATAATATTTTGACTTTTTTGAAAACTCAGTGAAAAACAGCTCAACAAAATAATGTAATTTACCATTTTTTTCTTTTTAGCAAACATTGAAAGCCGAAACCTGTCGGTTGCTATAGATTTGCTTGACACCTTTGGGGGCTGGCCAGTACTTGGCGATCGACCTGGTGGGAACTGGGATGAGGCATCCTTCGACCTTAGTCTCCTTTTGAGTCAGCTGATGCGTTACTATAACAACCCGATGATAGGATTTTACGTATCAGTTGACTCCAAGAACTCCAGTGGCCGAGTTTTATTTGTAAGGAACGAAAATTGTGTTATTGAAAAAAAAATTAGTAAAATTGTAAAATTATATAATAATCATAATATGAGTTATCGCGATAAGGAACTCTTTCGAAATGAAGGCGATTTTGGACATTAAATTGGGACAACTTTGTGAACGATAAAATGTGCTTGTAAATATAAAACTACCAATCGTTGTTGTTAAGCAATTTTAACTTTTTTCAAATCTTCGCGCTTGTCCGATTTTGACAGGAACAATGCATGATTGGAGATCAGATTTAATAACTATTCAGCAAACAACAACAAGACATATTTAATCAATATTTTCTATTACTTAATGTTGGTGAGGTTTAATTCCATTATGAAAATATATTTAGAAATTGAAATATTTTGTATCATTTTTCGGTACTAGTATATTGATGGTGTTAATCTTTTTTAACTCCAATGGACGAGATACAAGAAAGGGCAATAACCCGTCCGCATAACTCATATTTGAATTCTCATTAATATGTCAAACCAATTAAATAGTTCCAGGTAGCGTATTTGGTTTCCTTAACGCATAATTATTGTTATCTGTTCAAATATGTATTGATAAATCTTGTTTCAATTTTATCCCTATTTTATCGCAAGGGTTTTTTATGTTTGATCTATTGATGCGTATAATATATGTTACAAAGGTTCAGCAATTTCATTTTGATATGGCCGAAATTTAGAATTTCAAAATCCTATAAAAATTATTCTGATATCATGTATATCCTTACTACTCTCATCCTCTGTGCTCAAGTGGTTATGATCACTTTCGCTCTCTGCACCCCTGGAAGATGTTATGGTAAAATTGACGGCACAAGTAATGTTACAGTAGAAAAACCTGACTAATCACATGCTGTTACTCTCCTTTTGATAATTACAATGAAGTGACAACTTCTAAACCATTACAACATACCGTTATGCGACCTCGAGATTCGTTTGATGTATATCAAGAAATCAAACTTGTTTTTTCGTCTTGTTGACACATGGAACCTTGACAGGACATGTTCCAGGAATGCAGGGGGTGAAAGTGATTGTAACCCTTGCGTATCGAGTATGTACTTACTCATTGTGTATAAAACACAGATGGACCAACCTGGATTAAACATGCCGGGGCGTAACTTCTATCTAAAAGGACGTAATGATGAGAAGTTGGTGGCGTACGAAAACCTTATCAAGTCAGTGCTGCACGATTTTGGAGCTGATCCCGCTACTGTCGACGATGACGTTAATGATCAAATAGAATTAGAAATCGCTATTGCAAATGTACGTAACAAAATTATCTAACTTTACTGATCAAATATTATCTAACGTTACTAATAACAAAATGATCTCACTTTACTGATAAAATATTATCTAACGTTATAATAACAAAATGATCTCACTTTACAGATAACAATATGATCTAACTTTACAGACACCAATATTATCTCATTTTACAGATAACAATATGATCTTACCTTACAGACAACAATATTATCTAACCTTACAGATAACAATATTATATTGCTTTACAGATAACAATAGCATCTCTACATATAAGAATATTGTCCAGCTCCGATCTTTACAGAAAACAATATTATCTAACTCAGATCGTTTTAGATAACAATACCGAATCAAAGAAAAGTATTAGCACTTTCTCCGAACTTTTCAAATACAAAACGATTTCACTTCGATCTTTTCAAATCGCATTTCCATCTCACTCCGATCTGTTCGGATGACCTTTTTTCAGTTGACCATACCATCAAGCCTGCGGCGAAATAGCGAGGATTTATACAATAAATACAGAGTTGGTGATCTCGAGACCAATTTTCCTGAACCGACTAAAGTAAGTAAAACTCGGACACAAGTGTGTATACAAAAGTGAATGTCTGATGTTTTCTAATATAAACAGTTCCTTGTCATTTATATTTGTTTACAAAGTGAATTTTATTGATTGCATTCACATCATAAACATGGATTTTTTTCTGTGGTGAATAATAGTCTTACAATTATTTGCTTGGTGACGTTTTATCTTTTTTGTTTTGGTCCACATGTCAAATCTATTCCTCTTGATTTTATGTTAAGGGGGTTGACGTCATAGCGAGATCTTTGAAATAGCCTCTATTTGTGTTACAGTTTAAGTTTGTATGGAAGGAATACATCAATAACGTGTTTGGAATGGAACGAATAAATATGCATATCGAGGACGATGAGCCAATCATTGTTGAAGAACCACGATATTTTCGCAAACTTTTTGCAACTCTTGAAAAGTTCTCGAAAAGGTATGTTCAATCTTATAAAGATACTTATTTTGAAATTTACTTGTTATTTATAAAGAGTGTTATCAGATACTGACAAGAAAGTTATAAGAATAGATACATATTCCCTAGAATATATAGTATAAATTCAAGAATATCTTTGATTACAAATATATATATATATATATATTTGTAATCAAAGATATATATATATTTATATATAAAGGTGAATATCACAATAAGAACTTGAAGATAGTCTACCCATGACAGTTGTTCGCTATAATAAGATATGAGATATTTGAATATTAATGATTTACCTTTTCAGGACAATTGCTAACTATGTTATATGGAGTATTATGCAAAATAGGATTGCGAACCTTCCGTCCAGATATGAGAATATGATGACTGAATACAACAAGGTAGGTAAGATAACTTATACTGTAAAGGAATTGCTTTTTAAAAGTTTTAATGAAAGAAAAATGGATGCTGAAAGTTAAATCGATAAAAAAATTTATGCTGCCGAAGGGTAAACATATGGTCCGTCCGTGCGTTTGTTCGTCCGTCCGTCATAATGTTGTCCGGAGCCTATCACAACAAAAACTATAAATGGTATCAACATGAAACTTGATTGGTAGATAGATCTCGATATGACAAAATACACTGTACATGAACCACAACTCTCTTTTTTTTTTAATAATTTAGGAATTATTGAAACTTGGTGTATATATTGGTCATATTAAGAGAAATTGCAGTATATCAAATTCAAGACATGCAACTTCTTAATAACAGAATTGTTGCCCTTTGATTAAAATATGTGTCCAATTGCGGAGAGCATTCATCAGTTACACTCATACTCTTCTTTACACGAACAAATTGTAGAATCAAACCAGTTTGATAATGTTTACATACTTTTTATATTGATTGTTCTTTAAATGCTATTTGGATGGACTTTTTCCAGGTGCTTACAGGACGTGTTGGAAGTCGTCCTCGATGGCAGAAGTGCACATCCTACGTGAACAGTAATTTCGGCACGGCTGTTGGACGATTATACGTCGAGGAGAAATTTGTGGAAGAAGCTAAAAATGATGTACGGGTCCATAATTAAACAATACTAGGATTTGTACCATGTTAATTATTAAATCTGTATTCATTCATTTGTTCGTATTTACATATAATATCGAGTATGGTGAGATCCATTTTGTGTCCTTTATTCAAACTGACATCTATCTAGGACTGTCCATTGATGATGTTTATGTATATTGTGATTGAGATTTTACTATCTAACTTGATATGTTTAATTAGAGAATTACAGTAGTGTAGATGTATCGCAATGTCGAATTATCAGAACACTGGTCAGTTAAGTAGATACCAAAAAACAACACGGAACAAAAAAAGGCCGGATATTTCATTTCAGTGATAATCGTAATCTTTCTACAGATAAATTTGATGATAGACGGTATACAGAATGCCTTCGGTGAGTTACTAGAGGAACTAACATGGATGGATGACGACACTAAGACTTTAGCAAGAGAAAAGGTAGATAATCCCAATATTTAAAAGTATGTCCTTCAGATAAGAAAAATATGATGTAAATTTACATTATCCTCTATGTTCTGTCAGTCATTCTGATATTTGTAAGTCGACATCATTTCAGGGAGTATGTTAAGAAGGTTATTAGATGTCAATTGGTGCAATCAATATTTGTCTAGTAGTTTGTTCACGTTGCAGATTGTTGGATCTTTTCAGAACGTAATTTGAGGAAAGTTTAACATTTTTTACTGGTGATATTGACTTATTTCTATTTTCTGAAAAAATAAAAAATATAGTGAAATATCACCACTCGCTTTTCACCCTTTATAAAAATGGAGGATATTATTCAATATTCATTGAATGATGTCTATTGCAGGCTTATTATATGCAGAGAAAAATTGGATATGATGACTTCATATTGAACGATACATCGCTTGATGCTCGCTATCAAAATGTAAGTATGAGAAGTAAATTTACTTACGTTAAACTGAAAAATCAGCCTCGCCTATAGGACAATAATATACCAAACTATTAATTGGTAACCTATGGACAAAACAACAAAGACAAAAACAAATCCATAAAAATCTTTTTAATGTTTAGCTGTTGGTATTTGCCTTTGCTATCTGCCGAGGATGCCTATCATCTAGTTATCGACTATTTTAACCTGATATATACATATGGTATTTCATTCTGAATAATCAGTCTATTTGTGAAATTTCAAATTCAATTAAAATTTTTATCTTGGGCTAAGTGGAAAAAAGATGCAATTCCCTGAAATCGCCTAGTCATAGAGCATATTAAGTAGCTTTAGAATGGAATTCAAAAACTCGATTTCAGCTTTCAAGGACTGTTACACATGTAGACGTTTTACGTCACTTTTAATACATTATGCTGAAGGTTCTTGGAGAGTTTCTGTTCTATACTGCATTAATAATAGTCTCTTATATCAAGTGGTAACATCTGAATCTAGGAGGTATAGTGGCTGATTTTTGCCATTTCGTTATTTCGTCAATCCGCTGCGAAAAGACGAGTATCAAATCTGTAAATTCTCGTTCTTTCGTTTTTTTTTTTTGGTCCCGAAAAGACGAGAAATAACAAACCTTGATTTTCATTTTTACGCCTTGAAAAAACGATAAATAATTCGCGAAAAGATTGAATTAGCGATCTTAATTTTCGTCTGTTCAGGTTCAAAAGCATCGTCTTTCGGTGTTATCGCTCCGAAAAGACGAAAATTGCTAAACCTATGAGAGGAAACAGAATTTATGTTTTTGATTCTCGTCATTTCGCGTCGAAAAGCCAAATTATCGATATGGCAAAAATCAGTCACCGTAGTGAGGATATGTAAAGCTTAACGCACCACAAACGAAAAATGTTAATTACAATAACGAAACCATTAATGTATCGATTACTTTCGTGTTATGTTAATATAGTATATATATATATATATATATATATATATATATATATGAAAGTGACAAAACCATAGACAATATTGACAAAAATTTTACCAAGAAAATACTTCATTATCAACATTTTTTTAAGCACCATCCAATTAGGTGTTCTGTTATACTGAGTGGAAAGCCTCCTCTAATAAGATTGAGTAAATATAGTAACAGGTATAGCAGAAACAAGCAATGACCAGCAGGCAAAAGCATTGTAACTTATCAATACAGACACGCCTTTTCTGGATATGGTGATCTATAACTATTCTTAATACGATGGAGCGAGGCAAATGTGATTTTCTAACTACCTTAATAGGAGAGAGGTCTAGCAATAATTTCTGATAGACATTACATAATGGTCTTTGAGTTTCTGAATTTGTTTCACTTATCATTTTCAATGTTATTCAGACCACATTTGTTCCATTTTGTCTTTGTAATTACATAATATACCAAATATGTCCTAAAACAATTTTAATCTTTTCAGTATTCGATGAATGAAAACACGTACTTTGAAAATGTCCTCAAGTTACTTAACTTGTGGATAACTGGTGATTTTGGCAAGCTGAGGAAACCTGTCAATAAGGATATGTATGTTTCACTTTTGATGTAATTTCTCACTTCATGCAGCAACAATTCATATGATGGAAAGATATAATCATTTTTATTAATAGATATGTTTGGTAAAATAGGAAGATATTGCTGTAAGTTGATATATTTTCGTGGGTTCAATTTTCGTGGGTTTTTCAAAAAGCAATATTACTTCAATGACACTTGAATTTGTGAATACGCATCATTCACTAAGTCATGCTAATTTTATCAGTTTGTTGGCACTTGCATGAAAAAAGAGTACCAATGAAATCAGCGAAAATAAAATCCAAACGAAAATTAATGATTTCGCGTTACATCGTATATGTTTGGACTGGCATCAATTTGTCACCCATTGTTTTGTTACAGCTTAAATAATTGAAAGTGATTTGCCACGATTTTGTATTCACGTCTGTTTGTGCAAAAACTATTTTGTTAATGCATGGAACGTAAGACTATGACTTCAGGAATATTCAATAAAGCAAGAATATTTCATTTTAACTGTTCATTAATAATTTGTATTTTACTAAATTACACTAAAACGAAAATGTCAGAAGCATGATAACCTCATCTGTGACATTGTACCATTGTTATGTTCATAAATTGCCCTACTTATGATTTAATAACTATCAAAACCTATTCGTAACTTATGAAAGTTTTAACACCTGTTTCAGATGGACGAATTCACCGGCCACCGTGAATGCTTACTATAGTTCACCATACAACCGGATCAGTATGTTATTTTACATTACAATTTACCATATTTATACAATCACCATGTGTATTTTATATACTTTTATAGGACAATACGCTAGATTATTTAGTATTGGCAAAGTCACATACACTTGTAACAATATGTAGTTCATGTAATGTTACACAAAATGATCTCAATAGTATTTCGCATAAAATTACGATCTATGATAATGTCATACATAATATACGGCATGTTATATATTATATTATATCATATTATATTATATTACATTATAGATGGATGATATCATGACTTCCAATAATTGATAAATGTATTTCTTTTTTCAAAGTGTTTCCTGCGGGTATCCTTCAGCCTCCGTATTATCATAAAGATCAGCCACGGTAAGATGAATATTATCATCGTTTGATTAACATTGTTTATAGATAACATACAGACGATCCTACAGGTATTCACTAAAATGAGTAATAATAAGAGCGTAGCTCTCGCGCGAGGCAGGCTCCCGAGCGGAGCTCTTTAGAAGAGTTTGGGAGTTAAAATAAGAAAGAAATAAGAAAGAGTGTTACCTCTCTTTTCCCATATGTGTTGTCTTTCTTTTGGTGGTCGAAAACCGGAAGTAGTAATTTAACGACAATGTTTCATTAAACCAGACCTCAGGGGTGACAATCACTTTCGCTCTCTGCACCTCTGGCAAAGTTCACCGGCTGATACGCTTTTTTTTTGAAGATTACCATGGAGCTAAACCAAACTTCTAAGCCAATGCAACATACCGTTATGCGGCCTCAAGATTCGTTTGATTTATGACAAAGGATCAAACTAGTCTTTTTGTCTTGTCTACAAGGTGTCGTACATGGAACCTCCAATTTTGCCATGACATGTTCCAGAGATGCAGAGAAAGAAAGTGATCGCAACCCCTGGAGTATCGGGGATGGCTATTGATTTGCTTTGGCTACATTTAATATGATACCTCTGTTGCGGTAATCATAAATACAGAAAAAGCCACCGAATGCTACATTCTATGTTATGCTTAATAAGAAACACTAAATTCTATATACTGATATTTTTATTCGAGTATGACGTTTTGTAACTATATAAATAGATGTTGGGATACAGGACGTTCGTTTAGACATACGAAATCTATACAGACGTCAGCAAAAGAATGTTATAGTATACCCTCTAAATATCTTTGTTGCTAACACACATACGTGTGCATGTGTTATCAGTTTGAAAACCACACATCAAAATCTTAACGATTAAAACATGATATCAGTACAAATGCCCTCGAGTAGAAAACGACCGACTGCAATCGAAGATAATGTTACTTAACTTCACAAGCTCTGAAATATTGTGAATTTAATACAAGAATTATTCTTGAAATTCATGTACCAATCTTACTATCTACAAATTGCATATTTACTACCATGATTCTTAGTCTCGTTGAATGCTACTAACAAGGTGGCAGAAACCAAACTTTTTCTTTTGTTTGATATCTATGTCTTGTACGACAGGATCTTGACCTTATCTTGTACTGTTGCTGTGTTACACTGCCCAGGGTGGTTGATAGAATCCTATTGATGGTGTGAGATGAGGGTAACATATTGAAGCTATTTTTATGAATCACAGGTCACTGAACTATGGAGGGATAGGTAGCCTAATTGGACATGAATTAACCCACGGATTTGACGACCGAGGTATGCTATATGTTCGGTGTGATGTCCACAGTTTCTCTCGTACGTTATCTTAAGGAATGTTCAGTGAATATGTGTTCCACGCATGAACTTCAGCTTTCTGGTTAAAACATTGTGAATACAAAATGTCAAACTTATGAGTACAGTTATATGTACATGTGATCACGTGATGACGTGGAGAAGAGTTTATCGTAATAGTAATTGTAATTATATCACTCTAGAGTTTTAGCTACGAGGGAGAGGACATGATTCCCTTTTTATTTTCATCAGCTGATGTTATCACAAGTATTAGAAAGCATGTTTATCGAGTTCATTTGATTTCTTTCTTTCCGATACAAATCGCACTATTTAAAACTCATTAATTCACTATTTTACCTAAAAGCTGAATACATCAGTGTGATAAGTGTCTCGTAGAGGAGATGCATATTCTATTGTCAATTCCATAAATAGGTTTGGTTATATTACCTGCAAGTACTTTTTAAAAAAAAATTTTCGTGCCAATACGATAGGAGGTTTAATTACTACATCTGGAGAATGAATAGTTTCCCAGGCGATAAAAAGTTATGTTTTTCGGTGTTAAAAATCGTTTGGATTATACCTATAACTTAAAGCATAAATGATGGGTTGTTAATGTATATCATTGAACAGAGTTAAATTTTCTGTATAAATTTTATTTTCGAATGACTTTTTTTCAAACTCGCAAATTGCGCCAAAAACGACCCATCAAAAATAACAACATGAATTTCTAATGAGGAGTGAAATTTAAAACAACTGCGTTCTTATAAAAACCTAATTCCTTTTACGCGTGTCGTTTCACTAAATAAATGATATGCTTGTTATCATGAGGTTGTTTGCTTTATTGCCGTAATAACTGTATTTTTCTTGCAGGGCGTCAGTATGATAAGTTAGGAAACCTCAACCAATGGTGGAATGATGACGTCATCGATAACTTTATCAATACCTCAGACTGTTTCATTCAGCAGTATGACAAATACTCCTACCCGGAGGCCGGTGGTAAATATGTAAGTCAAAATTTTGTGCTTCGTAACATCACTTAACCTCCAAAATTGTATGTGAGGAAAGACATCACATTGTTTAGGATGAGACGAGACATAGTATGCATTGAAATGAACATTCGTATAAAACCTTGGAAACCTTGTTTGATCGTTCATTTTTATAACCAAGTCAATGCAGATGGATTAAGATTATGGGGAAGTTTTGCAGTGATCTCACTGAGTTATTCTATTTCCTTGTCTGGCATGGAGCTGGACGTGTTTGATGCTTTTTAGTTTGCCTGTTCGTTTGAGAACCTGACATTAATTACTTCGGTTGACGAAGATTTACATGGCGGGTGTCGTCGATGCAGCAGAAGACACTTATCCTTCCGGAACACCTGGTTTTATTCTCCTTGTACTTTTTCAGGAGTATCTGTGTAAATCTTACTTCTGTACATATTTTGTCCTTATTTTATTGAGTTCATTGCTGACAAAGATATGAAGAACAGTTATAATTATCTAATAACACATGATACGTTATCTTTTCATTGACATTTATGTATGTAATTCGTTCCCACTTCACATGGGGTTGTTTCAGCGAATTTTGTATTGAAACATCAGCGCGAAGGTGAAAAAACAAAATCTGTAATTTAATTTTAAAGTAGGTTGACTTTAAGTGGACATATATTTCTGTGTTAAGTAAAAATTCTTTACATCGATATTTATTTACATTACAGATGGACGGGTACCAGACTTTGGGCGAAAATATTGCTGACAACGGAGGACTTAAACAAGCTTTTAAGGTTCTCGTTTTGTTCTGATATTTTATTTCAATAATTACAATGGATGACAAAATAAGATCCCCTTTTCATCAAAACTGATTCAATAGCTCAGAAAAAGCAGATGAATGACCATTTTCATATTTTGTTAAATGTTTTATATAAACGTTAGATACACATAATATAACGCCTCCAATTCTTTCAAAAAAAAAAAAAAAAGATTACCACACAGTTTCGTGTGTCGTCATATCCGGCGTTGGAGTCGTAACATTGATATTGATTTCCCCATATTTTGATTCCGGATGTTACAACGCACGGAATACTGAAGCACTAAAACTATTTAGATTTTTCGAAACTTTTCTTTAAAATTGATGTTGTTTGTCATTTGTCGATCCGATAGGGATACAGGGCATGGGTGTCGTCGATGGGGAAAGAAGAACCTTCGCTTCCAGGATTAAACCTAACACACAACCAACTATTCTTTGTCAACTTTGCACAGGTATGTAACACAAAAATATGTACTATCATAAAGACTGCTTCTTTGACTTTGTAATCATATAGAACATTTTATTTATGTTGGTAATGTATATAGAATAGAAGTTCTTATAACACAACCAGTAGAAGATAGCCACTGCAGTGAACACACCTAGGATGTGCTGCAAGCTCCACAAAAAGTGCAATACATTACAGCCTGTACTGGATTATACTGGCTCCAGTGGTTACAATGTCTTCAGGTCACTAGAAGACATTCTCGTACCTTTGGTGGGAAAATCTGAACATCAATTGAAAAACTCGACAGACCTTGCAGAAAGTATGTCCACGGTCCAAAACCGTCAGGGATTCATTTTGCACGATGTAATGTCTCTTTACACCAACTCACCCACTGACAAAGCACTTTGTATCAGTCGGAGCCACCTAAAGCAAGACCGGTCATGGCGAAAGAACACCAGTCTCACCATCCAAGACTTAATGGATTTCCTGTAATGTTATCGAATACAGAGAATCTTACTAGAATGTTGTCAAATACATTACATGTTATTAGTATGTTACTGAATAAATGAACTCTTACTAGAATGTTGTCAAATACATGCAATTTTACTAGAATGTTGCCCAATATATAGTCTTACTAGAATGTTGCCGAATACATGGAATTTTACTGGAGTGAACATGTTTTTGTTTTTAGTTCCATATTATAATGTCGTTGTTTATGTTACAGATCCGATGTAGTAATCATAGAAAGGCTGACGCTATTCATCATATTCTGACCGGCGCACACAGTCCGCCAAGATTTAGGTCTGTCATTTAATTTTGTAAATAATCTATTTCTTACAATAACGAAATGATTATTAACCTCCGTTAATGGGTTATCAATCTCTATATCAAAGTTTACAATGTTGTTTGCTTATCCTTGTCACGAATTCTGTGAAAAAGAATAACACAATGATAAACCCTTGTTGATCATTGATGAACTGCTACAGCAGCGTAAACAAGAGTTTCAAAAATTGTTACCAAACTTTTCTCTTATCGTTACAGAGTAATTGGAACTCTTCAGAATATGAAGGAATTTTCCGATACCTACAAGTGCCCTGTAGGAAGTTATATGAACCCGGTACACAAATGTCGGCTATGGTAGACGTGTTTACTACTTGTGAGAGACGCTTTAATTAACAATTAACTATGAAGGTGCGATAGACGTCTTAATGAGTTATGACAAACGTTATAGGTAACGTTATATTTGGTTGCTATGGGTAACGATGATATTAGTTGGCATGGGTTACGAATATATTGGCTGCTATCGATGTGAGTAAAGGTGATATCAGTAACGTTGATATTGGTCTCTTTTGGTTACGGTAAAATTAGTTGTAATGTGTAACCATGACGTAAGCTGATATGGCATTGTAGATGTTATTGTCTGTCAAAAGTACATGTAATTTTTTGGTAATGAAATCGTTGTATACTTTATAATTTTGACCACAAACGAAACAATTATGAGGGTCAACGATTGCTATTATTTTCTTGAATACAATTTTCTTATTATAAATGTTTGTATTTCACACTAAAACCAAGTATGGATAAATTCATTGTCGACTACTTGGAATGGGCTGTGTAATGTTAATGCCATAAAGCATATGTTTTGTCGTTTTGTTAACATATATCACCTAATTGAAGGAGTGGATGGATTTTCTCATTTATACGTATATTGTATGTTAACTATTTTATGTATTTGTTGTTTCTAATGATGCATAACGATTTCTGGTATATGAAAGCTATTTGTTTAACGACCTTCTGTAAAGACACAGAAACAATTAATATAAATTTGTCCCTATACCACAGTGGAAATAATTTGTTGATGCAATTGTTGGTTACGTTGTTGCATACGTCGTTCTCATTTGAGAACGTGACATTACTTACTTGGATTGACCAAGATTTACATCGCGTGTGTCGTCGATAAAGCAGAAGACGCTTAATCTTCCAGAACGCTCGGTCTTATTTTCTTTGAAATTTCAGGAGTCTCCGTGTAAATCGGGTTTTCTTTATTGATAGTTTGCCTTAGTTTTATTGAATTTCATTTTGGATTTTGCTTATGTTGACATGTTGTTACTTTGTTCGATGACATTTCAGTGTCAATGTTGATTAAAATCCATAATTCTTATGTAAAATAATTTAATCCAACATATCTTTCGGACAATGTGGATATAAATTTGGTGTTTGTTACGTACACAGTTTGTATGTATAATTGTTTCGATAATATTATGATTTTAGTCATATTTTCTCTTGTATCCCTTCTCAATTGGACGGCACTTCAAATTGGATTCATTTTGTCGTTTTATTACTGTTTTCAAATCCAGTTTCATGTAACCTCATATTACATTAATATAATTCCATGACTTAGTAAAGAGTGAATTAGTAAAAATATGGACTCCGTGTTAGAATGTCTGACGTTTATCATATATTCATATATATTTATTTGGTGAGAGTTATTAATCATAATGTCCTGCAGCTAATCTTGAATTTGAAAAAAAATATATGTCATCCACTGCGAAATAGAAATATGGTACAGTTCCGTGGGATGTTTTTTTATATAAATCATAATAATTGAAAACAATATGTCTTACTCGGCAGGTCAGCTGTTTATGACACTTTATCATGAAAAGTATATTTGATAGATATATTTCAATTTTGACATACTTTTTAGACACTGTTTGAAATACATTTTTAATTTTAGACATTTTTTTTTAATTTAGATTATTTAATTAAATTTTCTTTTACCTGTTTATCTTAAATTTTTATTTTCAGATTGAATGTTCTCACAATCCCTTTCTGTCATGTTGTAAGAGTTCATTTTTTTGTCCTATGTACAACTCAGTGTGGTTATATACGACGTCATAATATGTCATACATAAGTTTATACTAATTCGTTGTAAGTTTTAATATGTCATAATATCATTATTTCATATTTTGCTAATATGTATATAAATAACATTACTTACCTTTTTTATATAGATATAATATAATATATATACATATATATATATATGTTTATGTACATTTGAGAGTGTTTCCTTCTCTTCTCAAGAAAAAAATGGTGTTTAGTTTACCTTAATGATTTATTTCAATATTTTAGATAGTTTTGTACATTAATAAATTACATCATCGAAAAATGTGCGTGTTTATTAAATAACTATAAAGATCATTGATTTTCATGGGGGTATATATATCTCAAAGAGATGAAATACCATTACAAAAAACAAAACAAAAACCCCATGGAAACTGAGCCCCTCGACAATATACGACTTTACAATATAATTCACTAGAATCAAGATCATTCATCATGATCATATTTTATATAAATATGTATTTCCAATAAACTAATCGATGTTCTTCCATCGGAAATAAAAACTAGCCGGATTTTGTTTTTTCTTCTTTACTGTCCAAAGAATCATTATCTTGACTTTTTTTATCATTATTTAAATGTGGTCACTTATAACAAATTATACGGTATTTGTAGACTGCAGAGCACGATCTGTAAACAAACACGAGCCCGTGTACATTCAAGATTGGGTGTCAATATGTTTTACAATATGAAGGCAAGCACAGTTTCCCAAATATACCCACGTGATCGTTTCTCACGAAAAGCGTTCAATCGTTTCTGTTTTTCATCTTTATGTATATCTCTTCAACATAAATAGAGAATACACGTTCAGTGTCTTAAAATAAAAGCAGTATTTTCGCAAGGGTGATGAAAGACACATGAGCCACTTTTGCTTTTTGCCCCAAACCAAAATGCAGCTTATATCCCAAGACTCTGACCATGTATTCTATTTTTCCTGGAACATGGATTGAATGTCAGACCATCAAACTTTCAACAGTTTTCTAGTTAATCTTTGTTTACTTATCATTAACGCTAAATTTTGTCTGATGACTTACGCCAAAGTAGTTACTCCGCGCAGAAATGTAGTTCCAAACTTCAACAGATATGACAGCGACTTTATGAATTTTCTCAAATAAACTTGTTACAACATATAAAATCGCTTATTTCAACACTTATTTATGTTATTAAATGCAATTTGAATTATAAGCAGAAATTAATTCTGTCGAATTCACGCACGTGTTTTCCATCACTACCGAATACAGCAAAAACGTGTCAGCGCCATATGCAGAATAAAAGACAATATCTCATGACTTTAGAATATCAGATTCTTACCTCTGACATTAGCATTACATACATGTATTAGCAAACCAAAAGCAACGTAACAAAAACAATGTCGAAGCATTTTATTTAAGCTTATAATTACAACTAAAAAAAAATATATATAAGGCGTATATAACAATTCAAAAATATAGTTATATAAGGTGCAAATTCATTTGGTCTTTGATTAGATCTACTTCCGGTCAAACCCGATTTTCATATATCCGTAAGTCTAATGTGACAACAAAACTCATTTTTATACCAGAAATTAGTAGTCTTGATATCTTTCTAAACCAACTCGATCTGTGTTGGAACAATCAAAATTTAAACCAAAGTTTCTGCTCGGGGTTTAATTTCAATTTCATATTCGGAATAACACAACATTCATGTGCAAAACATTTTCAATTCGAATATACATTTTGGATTGAAAAACGATTCTAATAATAATTAATGATGTTTCAGTGCAAGGTACATCTCTCGAGATCTACAGATTTCTGGAATGCTTACATCTTTGTTTCTTAACATCATGTCCCTGTCTGTCTAAATCGGTAAATCCGAGTCACAGGGCCGGTTGTAACGTCGAAAATGGAACCCGGGTCCGTATTCAACGAGGGTCAGTTTTCAACGTTACGCCGTAAACGAGATTAATAAATTCGTTATGAATTACGTAACAGTAATAATTACAGGATTCCTCCTTTCAGAGTGTTTCTTACTAACTCTTCTTTTCTACCATGTTCACTAACTTACTTTAAAATTGGAAACCGCAAACTTAATATGCTTTTTGTATTACACTAATTATTATTATTGAGTATTAATATAATACAAAATATTACTGCTTTGATGAGAAAAAAAAACATAAAATTTCTACACTTCAATAAATTAACAATTTTCTATTTTCAAAATTTACTTTTTTCTCTTACAAAATAACATTGTTGATATTTTTTTCCAAATATGTAATGCTGTTGTTGTTTGCTGCTGTTTTGCTGTTGTTGTTTGCTGCTGTTTTGCTGTTGTTGTTTGCTGCTGTTTTGCTGTTGTTGTTTGCTGTTTTTCACAGCTGTTTGCTATTGTTTTGTTGTTTTGCTGCAGTTTTGCTGTTGTTGTTTGCTGTTTTTTCCTACTGTTCACTGCTGCTGTTTACTATTGGTATTTACATTTAAAAAAAACTTAATTTTTGCTGTTTTTTATTGACAAATTTTAGCTTTTTACAGTTTTGACTTACAAAAATATAACTATTTTACATTTTATACTGACATTGTTTTTGCATTTCAGGAGACTGAGGTGAATTAACATCCATAAACATAAAGCTAGGTCACATTCTGGTAACAAAATTTGGTCATTTCCGATGTAATCTTAAAATTTCATGAGTGAAAAAACATTTTAACAATCGTACAACATTTTGGTTATTTGAAGCAACGCTACTTTCTGTTTGCTATGGGGTGGGGTGGGGTGGGGGAAATTGAGGTGAACTCTTCATGTAGTGATCAATAGTGCCCCTATCTCTGCGTTCATATGATACACTGTACGATATGTTGTAACTTAATCTAGATACTATCACATGACCATTTTGATATATCACACACCTTATCACCCCGAGAGTCCTGATATCCTTCGGCCTTCTGGCTGATATCAGAACCTTCAGATTGATAAGGGGTGTGATATCAAAATGGTCATATAACAGTGTTTTTATCCTATGTTTTTTTGTAATTAATCTTGCTTCACCATCTTCAGTCCTAGTCGCCATGCTTAGCTGTGCACGTTCGCGGACGACAGTTGCAGGTGTATCACTAGTGAGAAAATAAACCCGGAAAAGGCACCATCCGGAAATTTGAGTGGGATTCTAAATTATTTTTCGTACGAAAAAAAACCGCATTCGTTCCGTAACAATAATCCTTATATTCAAATCAGACAGTGATATGCGGTAGCGGCAGAATAGAAAAATCTAAGAGGTGAAAGGGGTGTGAAATCACTTTCTACGAAGTGCGACATCATCCGGGTTGATATCAACTTGTGGAAATTCAGGCTTATCTCACATACAAAAACGTTGTTATCAATATGATGAAAAAATTACACAAGCTTGTTATGCAGATACTGCGGTATTCTTTAAGTTTAAGGTATACCTTAAGTATACCGTATCTTTTCTTATCTTTTTCAAGTGTTGCATACGTCAATATGGAGGTCACATAAAACTTGTGATACAGTCTGCGCTATAATTTGCTTGGTCAGCATTGTGTCTTACTGAACATTCGTCTGTTGATGTGTTAGTGTCTATCTCACTAACATTGTTCTAACTTTCACGTTTGGCGAAGCATGAGAATCTATCTCACTAACCTTGTTCTAACTTTCACGTCTGTCGATGTGTGAGTGTCTATCTCACTAACCCTGTTCAAACTTTCATGTTTGGTGAAGCATGAGAATCTATCTAACTGACATTGTCCTAACTTTCACGTCTGTTGATGTGTGAGTGTCTGTCTCACTGACATTGTCCTAACTTTCATGTCTGTTGATGTGTGAGTGTCTGTCTCACTGACATTGTCCTAACTTTCACGTCTGTTGATGTGTGAGTGTCTGTCTCACTGACATTGTCCTAACTTTCATGTCTGTTGATGTGTGAGTGTCTGTCTCACTAACATTGTTCTAACTTTCACATTTGGTGAAGCATGAGAATCTATCTCACTAACATTGTTCTAACTTTCACGTCTGTTGATTTATGAGTGTCTATCTCACTAACATTGTTCTAACTTTCACGTCTGTTGATGTATGAATGTCTATCTCACTAACATTGTTCTAACTTTCACGTCTGTTGATGTATGAATGTCTATCTCACTAACATTGTTCTAACTTTCACGTCTGTTGATGTATGAATGTCTATCTCACTAACATTGTTCTAACTTTCACGTCTGTTGATGTATGAATGTCTATCTCACTAACATTGTTCTAACTTTCACGTCTGTTGATGTGTGAGTGTCTATCTCACTAACATTGTTCTAACTTTCACGTCTGTTGATGTATGAGTGTCTATCTCACTAACATTGTTCTAACTTTCACGTCTGTTGATGTGTGAGTGTCTATCTCACTAACATTGTTCTAACTTTCACGTCTGTTGATGTATGAGTGTCTATCTCACTAACATTGTTCTAACTTTCACGTCTGTTGATGTGTGAGTGTCTATCTCACTAACATTGTTCTAGCTTTCACTTCTGTTGATGTGTGAGAGTCATTATTAAGCTTTTAATACAACATCGTCATATTTAAATCATCATCATCATCATCGTCGTCGTCGTCATCATCATCATGATTTTCATCGTTATTATTAAATCATCATTATCATCATCATCATCATCATCATCATAGATCTGATGAAAATATAATACAATTGTAATAGATCTGATGAAAATATAATACAATTGTAATAGATTTGATTCAGTAGGAAGGGTTAATTATCCCCTAATGTTTCACAAAATGTTCATACCCTTTGTTTTCATTAAATGATCTCATTTATCCATTTGTTTCATCCTTGGATAAAGGTCGTGGATATCAGGTTTAGTTCACGCCTGTAAACCACTCCTAGGTTTCGTTCTTTGGTCGAAACAACATGGTGATGTACACATGCTTAGCTGGCTCTTTCTTGGTCACAGTCACATTTGTTTCACGTGACAATATATATTACGTCACCGGTTCTCAGGGTGCACGGTCCAAGCACTTGCTTTAAATGTAACTGACGGCAGAGTTT